GTTTGACAATTGGTTCCTACTTGTTTACAGTATCAGGATTTTCCATTAATTATTAATAAGTTTAAGTTCTCTTTTTTATTTTTATTATTATTTTTTATTTCAGATGAAGAAGAAGTGAAAGTAAAATTAAGTTATTGAAAACAATCAATTTAGTGTATCTCATTTCTTTGTCTCTTTCTATACTACGTCAATACTTAATTATTCAACACTTTTAATAAATAAAACAAACTTTTATTTTTTATCTTCTTTCTTTAATTCTTTAGGTTTTTTTAATGGTTTTTTATGTGTTAGTTCTTCGTTGATGTTATCAGAATCAACCTGTGGAACTATGTCCAACTCTGGTAAGTCATCATCCTCTGGCTCTTCATTTTGAGGTTTAGAAAGTTCAGTTGTAAATCCTGAAAGATGAATATAATGTAATCCAGTATTACTGAATATTATTTCTTCACCAATGACAAGATCTAATTTAACTTGTTCACATATTCCAGGGATGAATGAAGCAATGAGAACTTTATGTTTACCAGAAGTGATGAAGAGTTGAGTTCTTTGTTTAAGTTCAGTTTTTGTTTTAGAAACAAGGGACTATAAGAGTTAAATAAAGAAATAAAATAATTAGTAAATTACAAAAGAAAACAAACAGCATTAGTAATGTGTAGCATGTTGTTAGTTTTAAAAGTTATATTTTGGTTTGGTTTTAATATAGTATTCCAAAACATTAAACAGGAACTAATTGGGTAATAAAGAAATCTTTATGAGTTTCAATTGATTAAAAGAAAATAGTTTTTTATAGTTTTTTTTTTAATATTACAAAAGAAAAAAGAATCATAAAAACTTACAGTTCATTTATTCTCTTTCATTTCTTCCTTCATGAGTCAAATACATAGAGAACCTACTATTTATTATCAATGGGAATGGGAAGAAGTTAAAGGTGTGTTCTTTTCTTCAAGGTGGACTCCTTATAGAAGAGCAGAAAATAAATTACTTGAAGAACATTACCAAGAATTTCTTGATGAAATATATATTGGAATTGTAAGTTTGCCTAATGTCCAACAAAAAAAACAACCAAGGATTGGTGACTACGAAATTGATTTTAAAAATTTAAAACAAGTTAATAAACAAACTGGTACTACTAGAAGTATTCGAAGAGTTAGAGTTGAAATCGAATGGGATAATATTCAGTGGTGTTACAGTGGTAAGCCTTGTAGTAGTCATATATCAAAAATACTCGAAGACAACTACATTAAATATATTGACGGCGGTGGAGATGAAGTTATTGAACTGACTTTAGGAAAAAAACATCAAAAATATTCAATCGATTATGCTACATTTGTCCAAAAGAATCTTACAACTAATACGTATCGAAAATTATCAAGAGTTGTATTACCAAATATAACTAATTGATTATTGTGTATTTTCAAACATGAATGTTTTTGATACTTTATGACAGATAATAATGTTTTGAAAAAGAAAAAAAAATCATAAAAAATATCAAAATTAAATCTTTTTGTCTCTTTTCTTTTCTCTTTAAATGAAAAATTAGAATTAGGTTTTTTTATTGAAAAAAGTGAGAAATGTATAGTTAAAATTTACTATTATTATTAGACTAAGATCTGGAAAGAGTACCTTCTAATCATTTGTTCTTGATAATGGATCCAACAAATTTTTTAATACAATACAATGAATTTATTGAAGATATCAAAGAGAATATCGAGATGATAAAAGTACTTGATGATAGAATCAAAGATAGAAAACAAATACTTTTAATGAATAATGATGAAAAAGTTGCTGAAATAGAAAGGTTAAGAAAAAAAGTTGCAAGTTACGAAAAAGAACAAAGGAAAACAGAAAAAGAAAATGAAAAAATAGAAGATATGACTCCTGAAGAAATTAAAGCAAAGTATATTAAACAAAAAGTTTTATTAGGAAAGTGTAGAGTAGCTGTTGAATACTTCAAAACAGGTCGTGATCAAGCTTTACAAGAAGTTGATAAATTAAAGAAACAAATAGAAGAAAAAACTGATAGCTTCAAAAATACAATTGTTTGTGACGTTAAGAAAGAGATAGAAGATATGAGGAGTTTCCAAGAAATTCAATCAAATAATCATCTCAAAAATCTTAAAATACTTGAGGATCAATCTAAGTTATATCATGCATATTGGCAACAAACAAAAACAGATTTTTCTGATTTTAAAAAGGAAAGTGAAGATAAAATCAAGAAATTAAGTGATATTAATGAAAACTTAAGTCGTGGTATAAAGGAACGTGATGAAAAAATTAAAGATTTAAATAGTATTATTGAAAACTTAAACCACGTAGATACTTATCCTAAATCTACCACTCCATCAATTATTTCAGAAGAATCAAAAGAAATAGAACAACAAAAAACTGTAGAAATAAAAGAGACTACTCAACCATTAATTTCACAACCTGCCACTATACCTCTTGAAGGTTATTCTAGTACTAATAAAGAAGATAACAAAGGTGTAATAATTAAAAAAGATAATTTAATAGTTGATCAACAAAAATCATTGAGCCAAACATTCCCAAAAAGTATAGAAGTAAAAGACACTAAAGAAGGACTACAAACAGAAATTCAACAAGAAGAAGTAGCTAAAGAAAATGTAATGGATCAAATATCAAAATTAGAAGAAATAAAACAAACAAATAAAACCAACGATAAAAGTATTGAAACTAAAAAGGCAGTTTTAGCAAAGGGATTAGCTTATTTGATTCATGCACAATCTGATAATTGATTAGTTTTTTATCATTTTGAATTAATTTTTTCTCTTTTATTTATTGTGTTTATATTAGCTTCTTTATCTCTCTAACTTTAAAAGAATTAATGAGTTCTTCGTTGTCTCGGTGGTATCTTTCGTTTTTGTTTCAAATTAACAATCAATTATGGTTCTTATTATCATGGACAATCATGGTAATTTGTGGGGCTACAGCAGTGTATTATTCATATTATTATGACTTAGTTTTTTTTAAAATTATATTAACAATTAATTGGCCATGGTTATGTATTTGTATGGTCTTATTAAATGCTACAAATCCAGGTTTTTTTCCTTTAAGAGAAGAGTACTTTAAACAAAACCAAGATAAGAAGTTTAAAATGTATGACGTTAATTTATTTGGAAGTGACATTACAGCAAAGTATAAAGCTACTTATCTTCCACGAACATTTTGTCATAAATGTAAATTTAATCGACCATTGAGGGTGCATCATTGTCGTAAATGTGATTTTTGTGTTGAGAGATTTGATCATCATTGTAGTTGGATTGGAAATTGTGTAGGGAGTAACAACAGAAAGATTTTTTATACTTTTCTATGTATTACTGTATTCACTGATTACATTGCAACAATAACAACAGGATATTCTATTTATTGTAATGTTATAAAGCACAGAATAATAACAACACCACTACTATATTTTTCTTTTTGTTTGTTTATTAGTGTTGCATTTTTCATTACTAAATTATGGTATTTTCATACTCAGGCCATCTGCAAGAATTATACAACATACGAATATATAAAGAACAAAGACTTCAATCTTCCTAATCCATATGATGAAGGGATAAAAACAAATATTACAAAATTTTTCTTTACATCAAATCCATCATGTGGAAGATTATTTTGGACTAAAGAATACTATAATTAACAAGTTTGTTGCTTAATCAGTTTTTATATTTTTAAGAAGAAAGAACTGGAAAGTTTTTAATGGATAAAATATTTTCCTCTGAAGAAGAGGATGAAATTGTTCATATTAAAGAAAATACAACAAATAAGACAAACACAACAGAGCTAGTCAAACAAAAAAAAGAAATTATCAACCGTGATGTATTCTGGACTGGAATAGATACTAATGAAATTGGAAAAGAATCTACAAAAATAAATCAAAACAAAGAGATTGATGACTTTCTCAGTGCATTTACTGTGGTAAAACAAGAAGGAGATAGTAAAAAACCACATATCCCAAAATCACTTCAAAAGTTAAATGAATTATCTAAAGGATATAGAACAAAAAGAAATGAATTTATAAGTAATGAAAGTCTTTATGAAGAGTGTTATCCACAATATGGCAAAGGAGAGTTTGCACGGGTAGATGATAAATCAGGACAAGTTATTCATGAGTCTATTGATTTAGATAGATTTGAATTAGATAAAAATAAACGAAAAAAGAAAATAAAGAAAGATGAATGGAGCTCTGTCCAACAAAAATTAAAGGAAGGGTATAATGAATATATTGGTGATGAACAAGACTAATTAAAAGGAATAATCTTTTCAACCTTCCAATTTTTCTTTCAAAAGAACTTAATTAAAATTTTCCAGATTCATTCATATGTCAGCTTTAAACACAGTTTTAACTGATTTTAAACTTATTCAATCATATATAAAAAAGAGTTCTAAGTATAATGACCTTAAAGCTGATATTGATTTGGTGATTCAAAAACTTGAAAGTATTAAACCAAATGAATTTGTTAATAGTTTGTTTCATATGAAAGAAAAATTTTTCTTTCTTGGTTTCTCTTTATGCTCATTTCATAGTTTTTAAAGAACAACAAGGTTTCTTTATTTGTCCACTTATTAATTGTTTACTCACACATAACAACAAATTATATTCAGATGCTATGGGGTGTATATCAAAATTAATGATGCAAAATTTATTAGGAGAAGTTTGTTCTTTGATATTGATTAACAAGAAAATAACTAATTCATATAGGAAAGTTATAAATCACTTCTTTCTGAAATGGTAAGTTATTGTGAAATTGAACCAGAACAATTCACTAAAAATATTCAGGTTATTTCTACTATTCTTACTACTCCATCTATTCTTTCAATAATAGAAAGTCATCACATAATGACAGCAATTAGTATTTTAATGACATACTATGAAATTGCACCACCAATGATTAAAGCATCAACTTCAGTTACATTTCCTTTAATTCTTGAAAGTTTGTTTGAAAAAGCAAAGAAAGAAATTTCTGAAATTCATTCAAAAAAAAAAGGGGTCATTGAAATAAATCAAAAATGGACAATGACAAATGACTTATTAGGACTGTTTAAGGACCTACAAGTATTATCTCTTGGTCAAACCCCAAACATCCTTGAAGTTAGTCGATTTGATCCATTGATATGTCTCAAGTTAATAAAATATATTATTGTAGAATGTTCTACCTTTTTTGTTGTTTGTTATTGTTGTTTATCGGTTTTCGTTAAAGAGAAATAACTTAATAGATCAAAGAGTATCTCGATTCTTTAAAAGATTTTGTTGCAGTCCTTTCAAAACACTTTAGTCATAGAACCCAAACATTATCAGTAGCACATTCATTGATTATTCCATTATTAAAATATCCAGTAAGAATTCCTTTTATGGCAATATTACCAAGACCCATATCTGAGCCATGGGAGGTTCAATCATTTTTTACAATATGTGACACTTGTATCAGCACTTCTCCAACAATAGAAAGACTTGTCGATTGTACTTCTGCTATTGGAGCATTTTTAGAAAGAACATCAGCCCCACATTATCCAATATTATCTTCTATAATTTCTGATATCACTTCATTGGCAAGTCCAGATGATGACAAGTTAATATCAGTATTATGGCCATGTGTTCACTTCTTACTCTCTGTTTTTCAAGACAAAACTGTAATATCAATGTGTATTCCAGTAACAACTATCCTTCTTCACCAACACCAACACACAGCAATAGTTGCTCTATTTACTTCACTTACTAAACTTTGTGGAATTCTTCATAACTATGTTCCATCACCATTGAATGACCATTGCTTAAATACGATTTATACTATTTGTGAAACCAATCTTTATCAGTTTGGAGAAGAAGAATACCAAATCATTTTACCAGTGCTAGATGCTGTTTCTAATCTTTCTGATTTACCAGATAAATCAAGTAATTTTTCTTCTCTTCCTCATTTATTAGCACCAGAATTACCAGTTAATTCCTTAAAAATATTATTGTCTGCATTTTCACATGTTGCTGGTTTATGTGTTAATAGTGGGTCAATGTATTATTCTAGAGAATATCTTGCTGTATTATCAAATTGTGTTCAGTTAGATGAAGTTTTACCAGAAAATACTCAAATAGTTTTATTATTTGCAGCTTCAGAATCTGAATGTGCTTCATTAATTCCACCATTTATGATTGATTTACTAAGAAAGAACACATCAACTGCAGCATTGGAATTAACAAGACAACTTCTTCTTTCTGAGTCAAAGAAATGTGTATCAAATACATTAGATGTATTGTCAACAGTAATAGAAACAATAGAAACGGAGATGATTGGTAAATGGCATATATTATTAGAACCATTAGGTAAATGTGCTCAAGAGAAAATTAATGTTGGAAATGCTTTTGGAGTAGTTAAACAAATTGCTAGTCAAATTGGAACATTAAAAATGGAAGAATGCTTTGATATTGTTAATGTAGTTGGACAATTTACTATTCAAGAAAATGATATAAATGTTTCATTATCAGCAATACAACTTCTTTGGGATATGCTTGAAAGTGTCACTGGAGATCAGATGATGAATAATGGATTATCAGAAAAAGATGTATTGATGTTAAGTATTCTTAGGGTTATGAAACAAACAGTAAATGATTCTAGATATGTGATTTGGGGAGGAATGGTTCAAACATTATTACGTGCATTAGGGAATGTGAGTACTACACTTTCATCAAATGCATGGGCAAATGCAATTGATGAAATTTTATTACCAGTTTTAGAACAACTAAGGAATGAAATATACTGTAGAATAGCAGATATACAAGTTGTTCCTACATTTAAGAGGTCTGAAGTTAAAATTAATTCATATTTAAATTCAATGATGAGAGAATGGAATGAAATTATTGTTGTAGTTTTAAGTGGGTTAATAAGATTAATACCAACATTTAATAAATTTGAAGAAGAGTTTAAATTAAAAATATTTAATGAATGTTTAGCCTTCGCGAATGTAGCATTCTATAAACCAACATATATTACTATTGAAACAGTATTAAAATATTTAAATTGTATCAAACAACATACTACTCAGTTAGTTACAATAAAAGAAAAAATATTATTAATAGAAAATGAAATTACTCAAATGGTTATATTAAATAATGGAATTAATACATCTCTTATTCAACTCTTTGCTTCACAAATACTTAATGAAGGAACATCACATTCAATTAATATTTTATTTAAATTAATTAATGTTTATCCTGATGATCATTATTTAGTTGATAATAAATGGAGTTCTGTACAACAACTTGTTATTACAGGATTAGAAAAGTTATCTGTTAACTCGTTAAATGAAAAAGATAAAGAAAACATTAGAATGTCATTTATTGATTTAATTAATGAATTAGCAAAATTAAATACAACAAATAATAGAATTAATGACAGTAAATGGTATTGTTTTCCATTATTAATTGAAATTGCAATGAATTGGAAATTAAATATATATGATAGTATTTTTCAAATTATTCAATTAACTACATCCCACTTTAGTGATAAAATAAGTGTAGGATATGGTCCAAAACAATGTTTAACTGAAACTCGTTCTAATATCATAAAAAGAATTGAAACTGTTTCAAATGAAGAAAAAGTAATATTAGCTAAAATATTATTTAATATGGACCCAATTCTTTCTATATCTAAAGATGAAATTATTGAAGTTGATTGCATTATTTGTGACAAAGAATCATTAACATTATTTAATACTATTGTTAATTGGTGTGGAGATGAATCAATCAATTTGAACCAAAGAATTAAATTGATTGATATTGTCATTGATAATTGTCAATTCTTTTATTTTGGATTAAAACAAAGTATTTGTGCTTATGAATCAGTACTCCGTTTATTAGAAAATAAATCAATAGAAGATATTGTTTTAAATAAATTTATTATCTCTTTAAATAAATGTTTTGAAAGATATAATAAAATAATTGATTCATCACCTAGAGAAATATGTTATGTAATGGATGATATATTTAGTACTTTAATTCAAATGTATAAAAATTACTATCCACAACACCTTCCTCCATGATTATAA